CTATGACCCCTAAAGGCCTCCTCCCACAGAGCGTAGCCAAACTGCCCCCCTGGTCTACAATGGAACTGAGGTGACGAAACAAGTGGGATGGAGACCAGAACAATGATGATGAAAAACCTGAAATAAATCTGACTGAGCACAAGTTAGAGTCCACTGGAAGGCCTAATCCATTGCAGTGGTAGCAGCAAAATGCCATTCTTCACTGCCTCCACTGTGCCTGCGCAGTCATCCGATGGAGCTCTTTTGAGTGGCCCTTGGCCTATTATATACTCAACCATAAGAAAAGAATGCAGACCACTCCACAGCCCACAGCGAAGAATGTGTTTGGAAACTTCAGCAGGCCCAAAACACTGCTCCCAAATTGTTAACTGGAACTGGTTATAGGAATCACGTAACTCCCTGTTACAACAGATCACAGGCTGCTGGTTCATTTCTGGACAGAATTCAAGTTTTGACTTATAAAGGCCTAAATAACTTAGATATCAAAACAGACAAGGCCTAAATAACTTGATCCAAGCTATCTGAAAGACTGTGCCTCCCTTTACAAGCTGCCTGGGTTTTAAAATCATCAGGGGAGGCCCTTCTCTCAATCCTGTCACCCTTGCAGATGGCCTTGGTGAAGACACAACACAGGGCCTTCTCTGTCACTGTTCCAAAGCTGTTGAACTCCCTCTTGCGAGAGGTCAGACCGGCCCCTTCTTTGCCATCCTTTCGCAAGCAGGCAAAACCCTCTCAAGTCAGGCTTTCCCCTCATTAATGGACTACCTAATGGGGAGGGGGCTGCTTTTCTCCCCTCCTTTTCCAGTTTTTATACTGTTTGTTTTAATATTCTAAGGCATCTTGCATCCTCTTGAAGAAAAAAGTGAGGTATTAATATTTTAGGTGAATTAACAAATCAACTAATAAATAAATATAGGGACAGAAGTAGCTAGGTTGAAGAGGAAGTGATGCAAGTAGTAAAATGAGAAAACCAGATATTATACTTAAATGCACAGGATCTCTTCAAAGCACTTATAAAGATCACCTTCTCTACAGTGGGGGGCTGTAAGTACAACTCAAGCTCACAGGAGCAGTACAACTAGAAGTAAAAAACACTGAGAGTACCAAAATGCAACAATTTACAACTTGTGTTGTGACAATCTTAGCCCCCAGTGTGCTCTGTGTGTTTCGGCTAGTTAGCACAATGGAATGAACAGAGTTGGGTGACTGCCAGATGAGTGACAGGTAAAACAGACGTAGCAGTTGGGAGGTGGAAAGGAAATGGCTCCCAAGAATCTTATTTTCTTCTTTCTCCTATGTGGGAGGGGGCAGGCAAAATGTATGTAAGAGTCGATGTTTCAGGAGGAGGGACATAGGTAAGAGTGAGAGATATACCGTACGTAAGTGTTGAGACAAAATTGTTGCTGCTTCCAAACTGTGGAACTCCCTCCCAAATGAGGTCAGTCTTGCCCCTTCCTTGCTATCCTTTCTCCTGTACTCAAATGCTTTCCTTTTCAGGCAGGTGTTCTTTCATTAACTGGCTGACTTTGAAAAGGTTTTCAAAATGCTTTGCTATTGCCATGACCCGATGAGTATGGCTCCGCAGTGACATTGGACCCAGGTGCCCTGAATCCCAGTCTCACACCCTGTTCACTATTCATTCTCACAACATTACAATTTCTTTAGTTGCGTTTTATTGGTATAAATGTGTTTTTATTTGCCTTTATTCTTTAATCTTTTTACGAGCTGCCTTGAGCCCTGGTTTTGAGCAAGAGAAACTAAACTGAACAGCTTCTATCCTCACCAAGTGCAACATCCTTCTGAGTTGTCTTCTGAGGGAGATCAGCTTAGGTGGCTGGGTTTTGTGTTGGCGTTCATTCTTTCTGACAAGACACACAGGCTACTTCCAAACAAAGATTCCACAGCTCATCTGCCTGCATTTCATGGATGGCATTCACCCACACTGTTACCCATTTGTTGTCCATCAGGCTGAGATCCCGTTGAAGCAAACCACTGAAGCAGTAAATGTACTGCAAGCAGCTGGTCTTTTAAAACTCTTGGGCTTGTTGAATATAGCTGGCTTTCTGTAACTGAGGAATCTCTGCTTGCATACCACCAGTACTGCAAGTAGAAACAGGGGAACCCAATGTACAGCACCAGCAGAACTTTATATTCTGACAAAATCCCAACAAGGTTCTGGCCCCAATGTTTTCCAGCATCAAAGCCCTTTTTTTTTCTTACAAGATAAGATCTTTTTTTTAAAAAAATGACAGAGGAATGATACAATCTCCATAAATGTAGGTTTCCTTAGTAGTCCTCTTTGACCCTTAAGTGAGGTCAAAGATTGACACATACAGTATTTCAACATACTGCACATTTATTTAAGGTCAGTCATGGATTCAGTAGATAATAAAAGAAAGACACTGAAAAATCTCTTTTTTTCCACATTGGAAAATCCCTACAGTATAATATCACTATGAGCTGATCACATAACACACATGCACATTCACTTTCGTATGCTTATCCAAGGGAGACTGTAACCTCATGAGCCGGGATCTGGATAGAACTTTGGAATGGATGAGAACTAGCGAAATGAAATTTAATCCAACTAAATGGAGTTCCCAAGGGTGGAAACGCTGGCTATTCTGGTTAGAGGTGCTAAACCAGTGAAGGATTATTACACTCTCTTTAAAAAGTCAAGTTCCTAGTTGGAGGATCCTCCTGAACTCAGAACTATCTGCAGAAGCACAAGAGGCTGCGGTAATTAAGACAGCCCTTTATCAGTTTAGACCAAATATTTGACCCTGTTCAAATATCACGGGTTTTGCTGCAATTAATCATATCCTAACTATGTCTAATCTGGACTATTAAAATCTTCAGAGGGCTGTCTTGGAAGATGGTTCCGAAACTCCAATAATGCAGTGGCCCAGAGAGTTTAGAGGAGCTAAAGACTCGGGCCATATTACGCAGGACAGCTGGTGGTGAAGGCTTCTGGGAGTTGCAGTCCAAAACTCCTGAGTAACCCAAGGTTAAGAACCAGTGGTTTAGAGGAGCTAAAGACTCAGGCCATATTACAATCAACTTTCTTTGTGGCTGCTCCCGGGTTATGCAATGCTCTCCAATGGGGAGTCAGGTTGCCCTTTATCCTTCCACCAACAACTGAAGACCTACCATTTCAGGTACGCTTTTAATAATCATGACTGAGTCCCTGAATGCCATTTTTTTTTTAGTTAGGACAGTTTTTAAACTTTTAACCTGTTTTTAATTATTCCATTGTACTTTAATTAGTTTTACAGTGCAATTGTTTTTAATGTACATTTTACTGTGTTTTTAATTCTGTTCTTTTAAACACTGTGAGCTGCCTTAAGTTCCTGTACTGTAGGAAAGGCAGCCTATAAATAAAATAAATATATCAGCCCCACTGGCTGCATATATGCTTCCAAACCCAACTACAGTACTAGCCTTCAAAACTCGCTGGCAAGACTGCCTATGCCCTTATGAAAATTCCCAAACATTAAAATCAGATGTGAAAGCTCAGTTCATTTGCCTAGCTGGAAGGGGAGCTAAACTGGTGGACAATAAAGACTTCAGTTTTCGGGTGGTGGTCCTGTGGTTGATGAATTCATCCACTGAATTGTGCAACCATCTTCCTTTCTTGTTTGCTTTCAGCCCGTTTTTATTTCAGATTGTTCTTCAGTGAGGTTAACTAGTTTAAGTATGTATGTTGTTCTTATTAGCCTGTCTGTAGCTTTTACAATAGAACGGGTGACTGAAGTGAACAAATATTATTTTATTGTATTTTCTGCTTGTTTTTGTTTTTTTATTTTTAAAATACTAATACATATTTTGTCTCACTTATTTTTATGCTATTTTGACAAAATACTGCATTTTGAAAGATGGCTTGTACAGCATTGAAATGATATGAAAGATTCTATGTATTAATAATCTATGTATCAAAGATTATTTCTTTTAATTATCTGAGAACCACAACCAGAATTTCTCCTATTCACATTCTAATTGTCAGGAAATGCCAACACTCAAAACCAAAAGCCTCCCAGTTTAGAAATGGACACTTCCTACAATAAGCTACCCAAAGGAAGAAACAGGGTATTTTCCCAGCCGTCAGCCTGGGGGCAGATGATTTTCTCCCTGATGCGGCTTAGTTATAAAATGTATTCACATTGGACAAGAGATTCATGAGTAACAAAGAATTTATTTTTATCTACACGTCTCCCGAACCTGTATTTTGGTCAGGTGCAGCTGCTCATGTGGCCACCCTGTTTTCCTCTTAGCTTCCTTGTCTGCCTGCCTCATTTCTCTTCCCACGAATGTCTGTTCGATCATTTTTCCAATCAGATCCTCAGCAAGGACGCCTGGCTTACAATTTATCACCCTCTTTTATAGTTATATGAATCTGCTTTCCAGTTTTCTATTCAGCCCTTCAGTAGGTTTTACAACAGTCCAACCCAACATATGCTTTTAAGCACTCCATGTCCTTGGATGCCAATAGCCCAGTGACCAAAATTTAAAAAACTTTTTAAAAAATCTCCACAATCTCTCTTTTCAATCTCACATTTAATCAGTTCATTAAGGAGCAGCAACATGAATGGCGGCATGCTCTTTTATCCTACCAATGCAAATTAAACTGTACTGAGGAAATATTCTGAACGGTTTGCACAACATTTCTGCAGTTCAATGGAAACAGAAATAAAATGGAAATTCCATACAGAACCTAATGCTGTATGCTTCTAGATTGTCAACCAGTGCTATTCACTATGGATAAGACACTTCTATAATGACTACTCATAATGAAGTTCCATTATGGAGAGAACATTTCTAATGCTGAAAGAAATCCCCTTTTTGCAAGGACAGAGATGGGGAATTGTTTCCCCACCATACCTTCAAGTACATTCTTTTTCCTTTTTATTTTCTTTTTAAATGGTGAAATGCCACGGTCAAAGTTATTTTATCATTTTTAAACATGAGACAAAATGAGTAATCCAAGTTGCCTCATTACACAGGAAGAAGAATTGACACCTAGGCAATTTGTAAATGCTATCTGAAAGTCAAGTCAAAAGCTATTCACGAAGAGTCCCGCAGCCCAGATGAACAGGAGGCAGCACAAAATGAAAACGTAAAATCAGACTGTGAACTTACAAAGAAGCATTCAGCTTAAAGCTTCAAGAACACTAAAGAGCATTAATAACACTTTGTCTGATCACTAGACAGGTAAGTAAAGCATGTGGGATTATTCCCAGAACAGTGGAATATGCAACTGGCCTGTGATAATGTTTAATGCAATTATTCATGTATTTATTAGTTATATTTAGAGATGGGCAGGAACTGCTGGTTTAGGGAGATGCATTTCCCAGCCAAACAGCTTACAGACACATGGTTCTGTGTCCCGCCCCCTCCCGTGGGCACCCATTCAGCATCAGCATCCTGCCACCTCTGGGCACTGCTGCTGAATGGACCTCCACTGGATGAAGCAGGGCACTGAACCATGTGTGGCCGGGAAACAAACACACTGCATCACCAGACACATCACCCATGCCCATCTTTACTTACATTTTCTCTCCTATGTGTACAATATATGCCTCTCCTCCTTTCTGCTTTTCCCTCATCATAACCCTGTAAGGATACATCAGGATGAGAAAAGGTGATTGAGCCATGGTCACCCAGTGGGTTTCATGACTGAATGGAGATTTTAACCCAGTTCTTCTGAGTCCTGCTCTAACACACTAACCACTACATAGTACTGGGTCTCACCTTAATACAGAAACACTATATTGTCAAGGTCACAGAATATGGAACAAAATGGAACACAGCCCAATTGCATATACAGTGGTGCCTCGCTTAACGGCGATAATCTGTTCCAGGAAAATCGCCGTTAAGCGAAAACATTGTAAAGCAAAAATAAAAAGCCCACTGAAACGCTTTGAAAACCTTTCAATGCGTTCCAATGGGCTTAAAACTCACCGTCCAGCGAAAATCCTCCATATGGCGGCCATGTTCGCTGCCTATATAGTGAGAAATCCGTCCCTAAACACAGCGGGGAGCCATTTTATTTACCGGTAGCCATTTTGAAACCGCCAATCAGCTGTTGAAAAATCATCGTTTTGCGAAGAATCTGTTCCCGCAGCAGGGAACCGATCATCGCAAAGCGAAATTCCTCCATTTAGACCATCGTTTTGCGATAGCAACTGCAATCACAAAAAGATCGTCGTAAAGCAGATTCCTCATAATGCGGGGCAATCGTAAAGCGAGGCACCACTGTACAGATTCACTGACCATTACGAAGTATTGCCGTTTCCTGAGAAAGAAAAAGTCTGGGAGCAGTGTTACTATGTTGGATTCTTCTTGGATGAGGCACACCTGTGATGTCTTGTAATGTCTATTTACTAAAATATATATATAAAAAACAAGAAACGGGATTCCTAAAACATGGAGCACAACCATAGTGTTCCATCTACGGCTTCAAATTTCCAAAGGGCAAATGTGACTCACACTTTAACCAACTCCACCCAAGAACTCCTGCTTCCGCCTCTCCTAATTCAAAGCTGCTCAAATTGCTTCTTTCTGTTCCAGCCACCAGCTCTGCTGGATGTCACATTCCAAAGCCTGGAGCCACCACAGAATACTCAGCCTTCTTTTAATTTTTGGGCACCAGGTGACAGGCCCATCTAATTAATAAGCAGAGTTATATATTCTCAGCAGTATTGGGCAGAAGATATGCTAGACCACATTATTACTTGATAGTAACTTGGTTCTATTTTGTTTGCAATTACTTACAGTTTAGATTTGGTCATCTGTTCTGTCTTGTGCAGCTCTAATTAGCTGAACACCCTAGGGCCATCCTTCCGGTTGTGTACAGAGACCTGATCACATGACTTAGTCTATTTCATCCTCCTAGATCTTTATATATTTGAGACTCTACATAATTGCCCAGAGTAGACACGTTCTACATGGGCAGTATATAAATCTAATAAATAAATAAATAAATAAACATCTGCAAATTAGCATTTTTGTTCTGTGTCCTCTTTCACCGTATTAACTTTTTGAATGTGTTTGGCAAAAGTTTTAAAAGAGAAAAAGTTTACACAACACATCATCTCTTGACACAAAACACAAACTTTGTACAGGCATAGCAATGATATCGGCTCAGTAGGGTTCCCTTAGGATGGCGAGTTCAAGGGAAGAAATGGTACCTTCCCTAAACAATACATGTTATTACTTGTACATTTGCCACTCTTCACAATAGCACAATGCAATCTCCCCAGCCCTCAACCCCAGTCCACTGAAGAAACACGTCAATGCCTATTTTGGTCTGTTCTACTTAGAGAAGCATGCTGTATTGCTCTGGGCACAGCACTCAGCAAGTGGTGGTGTCCTACCATTCTTCATTAAAGGGCTAGCATAATTCTAGACCCCAGAGAAGAAAGAAGTCAAAGACCACAGCCTTGGAAATACAGTATATTTGTCTGGTTAGCAACAGTACTGTGGCACTATTCTGACTGACATTAATCTGTGGAGCAAGCATATAAAACAGGAGGTAGCACCAAGAAGTAGCGCCTGCAGTGGTAGAGCAGGGTGGATGGAAGATTCTGATTTAAAACAACACCTGCTTCTGTAATACAGTGGTGCCCCGGAGGCTGATGTTAATCCATTCCATTGAAATCGCTGTTTAGCTAAAATATCATCTTGCAAAAAGCTTTTCCCCAGTGGAATGCATTGAAATCCGTTTAATGCGTTCCAATGGGGAAAATAGTGGTCGTTTTGTGAAAATCACCCATAGGGAAGCCATTTTGCGGAGCTGCCAATCAGCTGTAAAAATCGTCATCTTGCGAAGCATCGGTCCTGGGGGGGGGGCGTCTTGCAAAGCACGGACCAAAACATCATCCAGCAGAAATCACCCATAGGAAACACTGTTTTGCGAAGCGCAATGGCGATCTCAAAACCTCATTGTCATGCGGGGTAATCGTCATTGTTTTGTGGGGTAATTGTCTAGCGAGGTACCACTGTACATTGTTACTGGATGCTAGCCTACAACTTCTTTAGGATGAATACAAGTCTACAGGAATTAATCGAAACTGTTGTTCACCTATCCAGCTGCATCTGTGTCACACAACTAGTTCAACAGCTCAGCAAAAACAAACAGTGGTCAATCAAATCAATATCTTGTACCCAATAAGATAATCATTTCCAAGTGGAACTGACAAGATCACTGTCTGGAGATTCGTGCAGTTCATTTCCGCTACCAACTATTGTTATTTATTTGTCATTCTCTTGTTTCACCACCAGTATCCATCTGAGGTAGAGTAAGCAGTGACTTAACACAAAGCAATTATGTTAATTGTTATAACACAAATGAACATACAGCAGCAGACAGTTAGAATTGCAAAAATACGTAGAACCACAAAATAGAAGCCATTATTCAACACTGTGTTTTGTCATTCAAGCCGCTAAATTGGTTGGACGCAAACAGAAAGGGGAGGAAGGGGGTACACTTTCTATGAGATAATTCTGGAAAGAAAGTTAAGAGAAGGTTTTAAAGCCATATTATCTGATTTTAAAATAACTAGGTGGTCCCCATTCAGGGCCTCCTTGTTCCTGTTGTTGACTTCAATTCTGTCCCATTATGACACAGAATGAAAGAAATTATTAGCAGGGTAGCTCTTCAAGCTGTGCAGCAGCAGACTGGTGTTAAAATCACATTCAAGTCCTCACTCTAATTAGCACCTGCAGGCATGACTTCCAGCTAAAATGCTATTTCTTAAATACAACCGCAGCTCACTATCATACTTTCTTCAACAATAACACATAGAAAAAAACTATCCCTGTATTTGTATTATTTTTAGGTTTCATATACTTTCGTATTTTCAGACATTCAACATAATTCATATTCATTAAAGGTTTTTTTTTAAATTATCTCTGTATTATCCAAAGCAAAATAAGATAAAATAAAATTTATTGTACTCCTAAGAGGATTAAAAAAATACAAACATTAAACTTACATTAAAAGGGGGAAAGTCCTTATGCTACCATTATTTATTTCACATTTAAGAGCAGATAATGGTACAACCTGACAGCACTTGGTGAAATTCCCAACACTGATGCTCTTCAACTGCCTTTTACTAGCTGGGAATATTTATTAAAATGTTCTGGCTTTGTGTTTCAGCATTAGTGGGGCTGCCGTAAGTGGCCAGGAATTCCGAATGAGCAAGCAAGCAGACTGGTGGAGGAAGGTAGCCTCTTCCTCCAGGAAGGACAGAAGTCTATGTTCCTTTTGTGCTACCCTACAGCAAACTACAGTCATGCCCTGCTGGACGATTACCCCGCGCTACGGCATTATTAAAATGTTCTGGCTTTGTGTTTCAGCATTAGTGGGGCTGCCGTAAGTGGCCAGGAATTCCGAATGAGCAAGCAAGCAGACTGGTGGAGGAAGGTAGCCTCTTCCTCCAGGAAGGACAGAAGTCTATGTTCCTTTTGTGCTACCCTACAGCAAACTACAGTCGTGCCCTGCTGGACGATTACCCCACGCTACGGCAAATCTGCTTTACGCTGACATTTTTGCAATCGCTTTTGCGATCGCAAAACGATGTTTAAATGGGGTTTTTTCACTGTGTGATGATCGGTTCCCTGCTTCGGGAACTGATTTTCGCTTTACGATGGTCAGCAAACAGCTGATCGTCGGGTTTCAAAATGGCCGCCGGCTGAAGAAAATGGCCCCCCGCTGTTTTCTAGGACTGATTCCTCACTTTACAGGCACTGAAAATGGCCGCCGTATGGAGGATCTTCGCTGGACGAGCAGGAATTCAGCCCATTGGAACGCACTGAACAGTTTTCAATGTGGTTTAATGGGTTTTTTAATTTCGTTTGACGACGTTTTCGCTCTACAGCAATTTCGCTGGAACAAATTAACATCATCAAGCGAGGCACCACTGTAGTAAGAAAAGCTGCAGAGCAGTAAATTTTCAGGACTTGTTTTACCATGTGAAGTTGCTCTATAGCAGGGGTCTCCAACCCCCAGTCTGTAGCCTTAGAAGGACTGGCCCACCGGGACAGATGAGCTGATGAGCAGGAGGTGAGCGGTGAGCGAAGCTTCGCCTTCTGTCATCACACTCCTATTAGGTTCTAATGCCGCTGTTAATCTGACAGGAAGTGGAGCTTCACTCCCTGCTCCCCTCCTGCTTCTGCTAGATCATGTGGCATTAGAACCTAAGAGGAGC